CCCAGCTAATGTTTTGTATTTTTAGTAGAGACGGGGTTTCACCATGTTGACCAGGATGGTCTCGATCTCTTGACCTCGTGATCCACCTGCCTCGGCCTCCCAAAGTGCTGAGATTACAGGCTTGAGCCACCGCCTTTTTTTTTAAACTTCACATTCATTACCAATCCTTCCACCCCAACCTGAGTTCAAATGCATTCCTACAGCTGTTTAGCTATGTGACCTTGGGCACATTACTTAATCTCTCTGAATGTCAATTTTCTCAGACATAAGATAGAGATAGTAATAGTTACCCCTCTCATAGTATAGGTTTAGAGATTACATGGATTACACTAAAGCACTTAGACCAGGGTCTCTTACATAGGAAGTGTAACTAGCCAGGCTAGCTAATTCGCTGAGAATTCTATTAATGTTTTCATCATTATTGAGCGTTTTATGGAAGACATCTTCAGATACTTGCAATCCTCTCTCCTCCTCTCCAATGTATATGATTTTTCTTCTTGGCCAATTGTGTAGAGCTCAAATAACAATGTTAGAAGCTACTAGGGCAGTGGTGAGCACTCACGACTTACACCTGATTTTAATGTATGCTGTTGGCTCTTAAACTGAGATACATAATAGTAAGAAAGCTTCCTTCTAGTTCTTTATCGCTAAGATTCTTTTAAAGCCTTAGCATATATTAAATTTGTACTACATTCCTCCGCTGCATCAATTGCAACGATTGTATAATTCTGGTTCTTCATACTGTGGATGTGAATCCCATTACTAGACTCCCCAATCCTGACCCGTCCTTAAAATCATCCAATAAAGCATACTTGAAGATGGGGACTAGTACTGTAATACAAAGCGTTTCATCATTAGAATGGCTGATTTGCTTTTGCTTCCTTCCTGCTGTCCTTGTCATGACATGGGTTCTTGGCAGAGCCAGAGAAGCAAGAGCAATTGGTCCAGTAACTCCGTATTGAATTGCCTTTCTGCAGGCCTGGCGCAAGCGCTGGTTTGTCCTCCGGCGAGGCCGCATGAGCGGCAACCCCGATGTCTTGGAGTACTACAGGAACAAGCACTCCAGCAAGCCCATCCGGGTGATAGACCTCAGCGAGTGTGCAGTGTGGAAGCATGTGGGCCCCAACTTTGTTCGGAAGGAATTTCAGAATAATTTCGTGTTCATTGTCAAGACTACTTACCGTACATTCTACCTGGTGGCCAAAACTGAGCAAGAAATGCAGGTGTGGGTACACAGCATCAGTCAGGTCTGCAACCTTGGCCATCTGGAGGATGGTGCAGGTAAGAGTGGAGTTGGGGCTCCCGTGTGCTAAGGGGTATCCCAGGATAGCAGTTGGAGGGCTACTGCAGAAAACCAGTTCAAGATGCCACGCTTGCCTACGTGAGGGTGTTTTGGCAGGCTAATTTATATCAGAACTGTTCCAACCAAATACAGTACTGGAAATTGCCCTCTTTTATCTGGTCCAAATGTGGGAAGTCAGCGTCCATACACACACTGAGCATTGCAGGTTGCTTTAATGGCTTTAAAACCCCTCGTGTCTTTGCTCTTATTCAGCCACGGTGAAAGTCAGATGTGGGTGAGGATGTCTTCCCATAATGCTGACACCCATGATCTTCTAGAAATATCAAATATTGCCATATTTCAAAAAATTGTTGAACTCCAGCATTTCTGGTGCCTATTGGGTTGTTCATCACTAAATAGTGGAAAGAGAGAACTTGGCTACTTATTGTAGGCAAGAAAAATTTCCTGATGCCTCCAAATGTCTCAAGTTCTCTGCAGAATAAATTAGTTGTAAGTTTGCTCTGGTCCATTTCTGGGCAGTGGGAGCAATTGATCCATGAAGAGTACCCCCGACTGTCTCTCTCTCTCTGCCACCTCCACCACCACACAACAATTCCTATGTAATTTTCCAAGTATATTGTAACCTAGGGTTACAATTCACTTCCCTTTATGGATTTTGTTGTTGGGCCCCTGACATTATTGAAACATGTCCTATTCCTCGTTTGAGATTTTGAATCTGGTTTCTTTTACCCTATTAGTCTAGTAGACAAAGCTTTGTCCCTAAATCCTGTGGTCTGTAGTTGCTTCAACATTTTAAGGGTTGCTGTATGGTTTTCACCATCTGCCAGTGAAATATCCACATTCTAACGCTAGGTGGCAATGGAGAGTCAGACTTGTAGCTCCCTCCAGGACAGGCACAGGAGAGTGTGCTTCCTGAGAACACATTCCTTTTCTTTTCGTGAACCAGGGAAGCATATTAAGTGAGGCTATCCAGTAACATTGCTGAGCATTGAGAGCACTCAAATAATAGGAAATGAAGTAATGACAAGTTCTTTATCCTTGGTACAACGGACAAAGCTTACTTGGAAAGTCACAGTAAGTTGGTTCTGGCTAGTCTGACATTATGCAGAGCCTCCCTGACCTGGAGAAGTTGGCTCTTTACCAGCCTATTCCCTACTTTCAGCCCTAACTAGGTATATCATCATATAGTATGTTATATGTCTCCTCTGTTTCTTTCCTTATCCAGGAGTTATCCTAAAACGTATGTAAATAATATGTTTCCCAATCACCCAAGAGCAACAGGAATTAGTAAGGCACCAGACCAAAACTGAAGACCCTTGCCCTGGTGTGAAGCTGGAGGAAGCCACAAAAGTCTCCTATGACCCTTTCCATTCTCTTTAGCCCCTTCAGGTTTTAGAACCATGTAAGGGCAGAGTGTCTTCATCTGAGAATTACCCGAAGGCCTTTCTTGTGGCTTTTCACAGAGTGTTTCGTTCTGTCTCCAGCAGCCAGGAGCTCTGCTGAAATGCTTTTCTATATTAATTCATCTCATCCCCACGCAGTTCTATGGCCTATGTGTGGGTATTATCTCCACTTTATAGAAAAGGAAACTTGGAGAAGGCAGGCCATGTAGGAATAGCTGTGTAGTGGAGCCTGGATTTGAACACACGCAGTTCTCAGTCACCCTGACTCAGGAATACCTGGACTATTAACTTGGTTCAATGGGTAAATAAAAGTAGGCTTTTCATTGGCTGTTTCTGATCTGGAGTTCTCATTGGTTCCTGATTCAGATTCATCTTCAGGGCCACGTTCTCAGGTGATGGAGAGAATGTTATGTGCTATGCTCCTTGAGAAATATGGGCCTTTCCAGCCACCACAGAACCGTGTTTCTTTCCTTCCCTTTACTTATAACAGTGATTAATCTTCTCTGCTACAATCTAAACTTCAATAAGGGCAGGGTCTTTGTCTTGGCTGTACTGTCAGGGTTAGTGGCATTCTAGGCACATGGTAGATATAATAGGTATTCTATATAGACACAGACATATACAAACATGTATATATATACATACATATATGCACAAGTACATATGTAACTATATGCATGTACTTGTTATGCATAAATACGTGTGTGTATATATATATGTATGTATATATGTATGTTTGTTGAGTGAATAAACAATGTTGCAGAGCTGCTGCTGAGGGCCATAAAGAAGCTGTGTGTAGACTAACTACAGATTTTTAAGCCAAGAATGCTGCGTTTTTTACTCTTAATTGATTCAACACTTTGCTCTTGAAACATTGGCCTTGTTTCCCAGACATTGTTTATAGCTGGGGAAATGGTCTCCTCCATCAGTACAAACACCAGCTGTGATTTGCATCTTCTGTTTGGCTTCTTTGATGCTGTTTGAGAAATTTTGAGTGCATGTTATAGCCATTCTTAAACATTAACCTGGGAAATGATTTCTCCAGCAGATTCCATGGAGAGCCTCTCTTACACGTCCTCCTCCCTGCAGCCATCCTCTGCCAGCTCCCTTCATACCGCCCATGCTGCCAGCTCCTCCTTGCCAAGAGATGACCCAAACATTAATGCTGTAGCCACTGAGGAAACCAGAAGTGAGTCAGAGCTTCTCTTCCTTCCTGATTATCTGGTTTTGTCCAACTGTGAGACTGGAAGACTGCACCATACCAGGTATGAGCTGGGCCTCTAGCAGAGTCACACTGCCTCCTCTTGCAGAGTCTGTAGCTGACATTTGTTCAGTTTGCTTCACCAAATTAGTCCATTTAGCAGTAGCATTTTCTAGTGGGTGTGTCTGCTCTCACCTCTCTTCCTGCCAATGTCAAGGCAGGGACAGACTGCTGTGAACCACTGTGAAAGATGAAGCATGTAGTACACTAAACAGAATGAGTCATGCGTGTCCGCATTGTGGTTTTCATTTCTAACCTTGCATTTTCGTGTGTATCTGATGCTTAGAGGATGAAAAAATCAACAAACCATTTTTCTTTTGCCACACCAAGGGGTTGGTGTAACTGGGTGTTGTGAAGAGAATGTGGCTATGCAAGTAGCAAGCAAGGTGGTCCTGGGGGGATGGGAATGATCCCAGCATTGGTTTTGTGGTAGGTGGATGGCTGCATTTTAGTCCAACTTACATGCTTTTCTTCCCCAGTCTACCTACCAGATGTGACAGCTGGTCAAACTCAGACCGCTCATTGGAACAGGCTTCATTTGATGACGTTTTTGTTGACTGCCTGCCACCGCTCCCCTCCAGTCATTTGGTCCACCCATCATGCCATGGCAATGGAGCTCAGGAGGTACCTTCCTCAAGGCCTCAGGCTGCCCTGATCTGGAGTAGAGAAATCAATGGGCCACCCAGGGACCACTTGTCTTCTTCACCATTGCTGGGAAATTCCTTAAGTTCCACCATTCAGGTAGATAAAAATCAAGGTTCTTTACCCTGTGGAGAAAAAGAAGTAGACATCATGTCCAACACTCCACCTCCCCGCCCACCGAAGCCAAGCCATCTCTCTGAGCGGCGCCAAGAGGAGTGGAGTGCACACAGCGGCAGCAAGAAGCCAGAATGCACTCTAGTTCCAAGAAGAATCTCTCTCTCTGGTCTAGACAACATGAGAACCTGGAAAGGTAAGTGTTGAGTCCTAAGATTCAGGCATCAAGAAAACCCTGGCTCCTCCTCACTCTTTGTGTCCATGGATGGGGCTGGGTTAGAATTACCCTGATGTAGGCAGCCTGGTAAAAAGCCACATCAGTAGTGTGTACTTGTGTACATATGTGCTTGTCCCTAGCTCAAGCTGGCCTGAGCTTCTAATGGGGCTGGATCCTTAGTGGAAACATACAACCTGAAAGCAGCAGTCTTCTGTTCCTGGATCCCCCCCATCCCTCCTTTGAGCCTGGCCACCAGGAGAGACATTTAGATCCCCATAGATGCTGCAATAGGTTGGAACGCTGGTCCCTTGTGATGGGCTTGCCACCTCAGTCTGAGCTCCTAGTGTTTTTTGGAGTCACTCAAGGATCCAGTGGGTACAAAAGTTGACGTCTTTTATCTCAGCTCAGTCCCATTCCCTACTTTGCCTCTCTCACATACATAGAGAGCCCTGAGACTACAGACCATCAGCAATCCCATCAGCCTCATTCATCAACCCACTAAACTTGTTCTTTCCAAATTCTAACTGGCTTACAAAGGGCCCTCCACAGCCCTCTTTTGCCCTTTCTTTTCTTTTTTTTAATTTTACTTTAACTTCTGGGGTACATGTGCAGATCTTGCAGGATTGTTACATAGGCATACACATGCTATGGTGATTTGCTCCCTCCATCCCCCCATCACCTACATCAGGCATTTCTCCTAATGATATCCCTCCCCAATCTCCCCACCTCCTGTTATCCCTCCCCTAACCCCCCACCCCCCAACAGACCCCACTGTGTGATGTTCCCCTCCCTGTGTCCATGTGTTCTCATTGTTCAACACCCACTTATGAGTGACAACATTCGGTGTTTGGTTTTCTGTTCCTGTGTCAGTTTGCTGAGAATGATGGTTTCCACATTCAACCATGTCCCTGCAAAGGACAGGAGCTCATCCTTTTTATGGCTGCATAATATTCCATGGTGTATAAGTGCCACATTGTCTTTGTCCAGTCTATCATCAATGGGCATTTTGGTTGGTTCCAAGTCTACAATTGTAAACAGTGCTGCAATGAACATATGCGTACATGTGTCTTTATAATAGAACAATTTATAATCCTTTGGATATATACCCAGTAATGGGATTGCTGGGTCAAATGGAATTTCTATTTCTAGATCCTTTAGGAATCATCACACTGTCTTCCAAAATGGTTGAACTAAGTTACACTCCCACCGACTGTGTAAGAGTGTTCCTATTTCCTTTTACACTGTTGGTGGGAGTGTAAATTAGTTCAACCATTGTGGATGACAGTGTGGCGATTCCTCCAGGACCTAGAAATAGAAATTCCATTTGACCCAGCAATCCCATTACTGGGTATATATCCAAAGGATTATAAATCGTTCTCCTATAAGGACACATGCACACGAATGTTCGTTGCAGCACTGTTTACAATAGCAAAGACCTGGAACCAACCCAAATGCCCATTGATGATAGACTGGACAGGGAAAATGTGGCACATATACACCATGGAATACTATGCAGCCATCAAAAAACGATGAGTTCGTGTCCTTTGCAGGGACATGGATGAACCTGGAAACCATCATTCTCAGCAAACTGACACAGGAGCAGAAAATCAAACACCGCATGTTCTCACTCATAGGCGGGTATTGAACAATGGGAATACATGGACACAGGGAGGGGAGCACTACACACTGGGTTCTGTTGGAGGGAAATGGGGAGGGACAGTGAGGGGTGGGGAGTTGGCGGGGGAGGGCATAGGGAGAGATGCCAGATATAGGTGATGGGGAGGAAGGCAGAAAATCACACTGCCACGTGTGTACCTATGCAACAATCTTGCATGTCCTTCACATGTACCCCAAAACCTAAAATGCAATTAAAAAAAAGAAATCTTAAACAAACAAACAAAAAAGAGTGTTCCTTTTTCTCCACATCCTCTCCAGCATCTGTTGTCTCCAGATTTTTTAATGATCGCCATTCTAACTGGCGTGAGATGTTATCTCAATGTGGTTTTGATTTGCATTTCTCTAATGACCAGTGATGATGAGCATTTTTTCATGTTTGTTGGCTGCATAAATGTCTTCTTTTGAAAAGTGTCTGTTCATATCATTTGCCCACTTTTTGCTGGGGTTGTTTTTCTCTTGTATATTTGTTTTAGTTCTTTGTAGATTCTGAATATTAGCCCTTTGTCAGATAGGTATCTTGCAAAAAATTTTTTTGCCCATTCTGTTGGTTGCTGGTTCACTGTAATGATTGTTTCTTTTGCTGTGCAGAAGCTGTTAAGTTTAATTAGGCCTCATTTGTCTATTTTGGCTTTTGTTGCCATTGCTTTTGGTATTTTAGTCATGGAGTCTTTGCCTGTGCCTATGTCCTGAATGGTATTGCCTAGGTTTTCTTCTAGGGTTTTTATGGTGTTAGGTCTTATGTTTAAATCTTTAATCCAACTGGAGATAATTTTTGTATAATGTGTAAGTAAGGGGTCCAGTTTCAGCTTTCTGCACATGCCTAGCCAGTTTTCCCAACACCTTTGCCCACTGTTTGATGGGGTTGTTTTTTTCTTGTAAATTTGTTTAAGTTCTCCATTAAAAATGCATCTTCTGAGATGATCATATGGTTTTTGTCCTTGATTCTGTTGATGTGATGTATCTCATTCTTGCATCCCTGAGATTAATCCCACTTGATCATAGTGAATTATCTTTATGATGTATTGTTTGATTCAGGTTGCTAGTCTTTTTTATTTTTTTTATTTTTAAAACTTTTATTTTGGGTTTGGGATACATGTGTAAGTTTGTTACCTAGGTAAAGTCATGTCACAGGATTTGTTGTACATATTATTTCATAACCTAGATATTAAACCTAGTGTTTTGTTGGGGATTTTACATCTATGTTCATCAGAGTCATTGGCCTGTAGTTTTCTTTGTTTTTCTTGTGTCCTTGTCTGGTTTTGGTATCAGGGTGATGCTGGGCTTGTAGAATGAGTTAGGCAGGATTCCCTCCTCTTCATTTTTTGGGGGGATAGTTTGAGAAGCATTGGTGTTACCTCTTCTTCAAATGTTTGGTAGAATTCAGCAGCAAAACCATCAAGTTTCTGGGCTTTTCTTTTTTGGGAGACCTTTTTTTTTTTTTAAATGATTCAATCTCATTACTCATTATTGGTTTGTTCAGGTTTTCTAGTTCTTTCTGATTCAATCTTGGCAGGTTTTACATGTCCAGGAATTTATCCTTTTCCTCTAAGTTTTCAAATTTATTAGTGTATAACTGCTCAAAACAATCTCTAATGACACTTTGTATTTCTTTGGCATTTATCGTAATGTCTCCTTTTTCAGTTCTGATTTTATTTATCTGGGCATTCTTTGTTGTTTCTTAGTCTAGCGGTTATTGACTAAGTGAGTAAACCACTTAGTCTAGTGGTTTATTGATTTTGTTTATCTTTCTGAAGAACCAACTTTTTCTGTAGTTCTGCTGTGATCTTTATTACTCATTTCCTTACACTATTTTTCAGTTTGGTTTGCTCTTGCTTTTATAGTTTCTTTTTTCTTTTTAATTTTTGTGAGTACATAGTAGGTGTATATATTTATGGGATACATAAGATGTTTTGATGTAGGCATACAATGTAAAATAATCACATCATGGAGAATGGGTTTTCCATCCCCTCAAGCATTTATCCTTCGTGTTGCAAACAATCCAATTACACTCTTTTAGTTATTTTAAAATGTACAATTAAGTTATTATTGACTATAGTCACCCTGTTGTGTGATCAAACAGGTCTTATTCTTTCTAATGAATTTGTGTATCTATTAACCATCCTCCCCTCTCCCACAGCCCCCAACCCCGGCTACCCTTCCTAGCCTCTGGCAACCATTCTTCCACTCTGTATGCCCGTAAGTTCAATTGTTTCGATGTTTAGATTCCATAAATAAGTGAGGACATGTGACATTTGTCTTTCTGTGCCTGGCTTCTCTCACTTAACCTCCAGTTAACCTCCTTAATGACCTCCAGTTCAATCTATGTTGTTGCAAATGACAACATCTCATTCTTTTTCATGGCTGAAGAGTACTCCAGCATATATATGTACCACATGTTCTTTATCCATTTATCTGTCAATGGGCACTTTGGTTGCTTCCAAATCTTGGCCGTTGTGAACAGTGCTGAAGTAAACATGGGAGTGTAGTGTATCTGTTTGATACACTGATTTCCTTTCTTTGGGGCATACCCAGCAGTGGGATTGCTGGATCATATGTAGCTCAATTTTTAGCTTTCTGATGAACCTCCATACTCTTCTCCATAGTGGTTGTATTAATTTACATTCACACCAACAGTGTACAAAGGTTCCCTTTTTTCTACATCCTCACAAGCATTTGTTATTGCCTGTCTTTTAGATATAAGCCATATTAACTGGGGTGAGATAATAATCTCATTGTAGTTTTTAAAATTTTTTTAATTTTTACTTTTAAGTTCAGGGGTACATGTGTAGGTTTATTAAATAGATAAACTTGTGTCATAGGGGTTTGTTGACTATTCCATCATCCAGGTAATAAGCCTAGTATCCATTAGTTATTTTTTCTGATCCTTTCCCTCCTCCCATCCTCTGCCCTCCAATAGACCCCAGTGTCTGTTGCTCCCCTCTCTGTGTCCATGTGTTCTCATAATTTAGCTCCGACTTATAAGTGAGAACATATGGTATTGAGTTTTCTTTTATTGTGTTAGTTTGCTAAGGATAATGGCCTCCAGCTCTGTATATGTTCCTGCAAAGGACATGATCTCTTTATTTTTTGTAGCTGCATGGTATTCCATGGTGTATATGGACCACATTTTCTTTTTCTTTTTTTAAGTGAATGTATCCATTTTTATTATGAAACATCAAATTTTGACACATTGCTTCATTTGCTTTTTTAATATCTATTATCTGACATAAACCTATTCAGCAAAAATGCCAATAAATTATATAAATTCTAGTTTGGGTCTTTTTAAAACTGGGAACATAGTA